CATCCAGCTGCTTGGAGATGGTCTTATAGCCTTTACTTTTAACATACTTGTCTATACTTTTCTTTCTAATCTCCTGAGACAACTCTCTCCTTCGCTTCCTCTGGTCCATGTTTAGTGTGGTACACACCATGTACCAAACAGCCTAGTGACTACTTGTAACCGTATAAATAGGCCGACTGACTGATTACAAGTCTGTAGACACTGTGATGCTCATTAGAGGACACACCTTGATTGAACATGTCCCTATGGTCACATTATTTTTGTCCAGGCCTGTTTCATGAGTGTATTTTTTTTTTAATTCTGTTGAGCCACAGCTCAAAAGCAAAGTCTGATTTTCATTATTTAATTTTCACAGAATTTTTATTTATTATTACTTTTGTCAGATTCATGTTGTTTCTGTGACCGTTATGGGTTTTTCTTTCATTAACCGAGGGGTACCAACAATTTTGTCCACCTGCGTAGATAATGGATGGATAAATACTATGAGGTGCCAACTAAAAAATCCCAAACTGTTTGTGTTGTGCCTCACAGTTACACATATGTCACACTTGCAAGCTTTAAGTGTCATGAATCAGCAGACTGCATCACACCTTCGACATCAGGACCTCAGGACCTGTTACACATGTTTGTGTGACCGCTGGCAGGTGCACAGTTATAATTTCTTCTTTGACCCAAAACTACAGCAGAGAGCACACCTCACATTCTGTGTCAGTAACCAGCCAGAATGATCCAACGTTTATGTGGACAATCATTACTGCTCCTGAGAGGTGGGTCTGTAGCTCTGATCCAAAGACTAAATGGCTGTTTTATACAGTGGAGGAGCTGCAATGTAAAGAGCTTAGAAGTATGTAGTGGTGCCTAGAAATTTTGCATCTCTCAATGATTTTGAAACAATTATTGAGCCCTCATAACTGTATCAGTACAGGAGACAGACACCTTCGATTTTTTTTTTTTTTAGAACTAAAGACACCTTAACGCTGTATTAAAAACTGCAACCCAATCAATTTTGTATCCACTCCAGGTGTCACAATCAAAAGCACAATTTTTTTGTTTAGCCAACCTTTAGAATCTGTTTAATGCAATACAGTGAGGGAAAAAATATTAAGTCCCCTGCATATTTCATGATTATGTCCACATACAACAAAAATACGGGTCTATAATTTTAATAGTAGGTTTATTTCAACTGTAAGAGACAGATTATCAACAAAAAGATTCAGAAAAACACATTAACAATGATTAATTTCCAGTTGATCAAGGGAAATAAGTATTTGATCCCCCAGCAAAACATGACTTAGTACTTGGTAGAGTAACCCTTGCTGGTAAACACAGACACCAGACATTTCTTACAGTTGGTCACCAGGTCTGCACACATTTCAGGAGGTATGTTACACCTCTCCTCTTTGCAGATTCTCTCCAGATCCTTAAGGTTCCGAGTCTGTTACTTACCAAAGCTGAAGCTTTAGCTCCTTCCATAGTTTTTAAATAGGATTAAGGTCTGGAGACTGGCCACTCCATGACTTTAATGTGCTTCTTCTGGAGCCACTCCTTTGTTGCTTTGGCCATATGCTTAGGGTCATCATCTTGTTGGAAGACCCACCCACAACACATTTTTGGTGCTTTGGCTGAGGGAAGGAGGTTCTTGCTCAAGATTTCTTCGTACATGGCCCAATTAATTGTTCCCTCAATGTGGTGCAGTCGTCCCGTACCCTTGCCAGAGAAACAGCCCCAAAGCATAATGTTTCCACCTCCATGCTTGACTGTGGGGATGGTGTTCTTGAGGACCATAGTCAGCATTCTTCTCTCTCCAAACATGACAAGTCGAATTGATGCCAAAGAGCTCAATTTTGGTCTCATCTGACCAAATCACATTCCCCCAAGCCTCCTGAGTGTCATTCAAATGTTCATTGGCAAACTTCAGATGTGCCTGTTCATCTGATTTCTTGTGGAAGGGGACCTTGCAGGTGCTACAAAATTTCCAACCATTAAGATGCAGCGTGTTGCCAGTGGTATTCTTGGTGACTGTAGTTCCAGCAGCCTTGAGATCATTACCAAGTTCCTCCCATGTAGCTCTGGGATTATCCTTGACCTTTCTGATGATCAGAGATACTGCATGAGGTGAGATCCTGTGTGGAGCTCCAAACTGAGGGTGATTGATTGTTGTTTTTTTTCCCCTTTCTTTTATTTGCAAATGATTGCACCGACAGTTGTCACCTTTTCACCAAGTTGCAATATGTAGGAGCCAGAATTCTTGCTGGTACAAAGGGGATCTGTGACGGCCCGTGGCCACCGAGTGTATTTGTGGACCCAAACGAAGAGGAGATGGGGAATGGATAAGGAAAAACAGGTTTTTATTAAAGGAGGGTAGGGAAGTGATGGGCACCAGGAGGCAGGTGGAGAATCCGGCGTTGGTGCCGAGGGAGGTCTTCGGTGCCGGTGGGTCGTGTGGCGAGTTCCCCGTGCAGGAGTCTGTGCGGAGGTTTTTCCGTGGCTTTGCTCAGGAGAAGGAGTCCGTGTGGAGGTTTCCCAGTGGTGGTGCTCAGGGCACGGTGCTCGTGTGGAGGTTTCCCCGTGACGGTGCTCAGGTGAAGGTGCTCGTGTGGAGGTTTTTCTGGTGCAGGTGCCCGTGACTTGTGAGATCCTGACTCGTGATTCCGTGGCGGTGGAAGCTGGCGTGAAGGGTGGACGGCTGGGCGCTGGAGCCGGCGGAGAGGACGCTGGAGAAAACACAGAGAGAATATAGGATTACTCGAAACTCGAAAGTAGCTTAGCAGAGAACTCAAAGCTTGGAACTACTGCGAATCGGCCTGACTGTACCACTAGTGGTGTATCACAATCATCTGGCGCTGGAGTCCTGTGAAACCGTGGCTTTTAGGCTCTCCGCTGATGAGCAGATGAGCCGCAGCTGTGCCAGCACGAGAGTGTCCTCCTCCGATCTGCCCTGCCCAGCCTGCAGGAGAAAGACACGCCAACCAAAACACAGATGGAAAAGCAGGAACAACCAAAAACACAGTAAACACGATCCATAACCCTCACAGGGTCAAATACATTATTTTCCTTGATCAACTGGAAATTAACTTCTAACTGTTAGATAAGGTGTTTTCTGATTTATTTTGTTAATAGTCTGTCTTTTACGGTTAAAATAAGCCTACAATTTAAGTTATAGACTGCTAATTATTTTTTTTTTGTATGTGGCCAAAGTCATGAAATATGCAGGGGATCCAATACTTCTTTCCTTCACTGTATGTAATGGTTTCAAAAGCAACACACATAGAGTAATAGAAAAAACCATTGGTACCCTGCCTCTTTTTATCTTTTGACTT